CCCCCCCCCCCTCCGCGCGCGCATACCCTCGCGCGCACATATCTCCGGGACATTCAACACTCTTAGCGAAGCTCAAGGTAGCGTGCGTGTTTAAGGCCTACGACAGGTTCAAACGGATTTTTTTTTAGCGTTGGGGTGTTTGTAGTGTTAGTATTAGTGAGGAATTATTTTTAATTATGTGCAACAATGTTGCGTCAACATCAGCTCCAACAGCGCGCGGATCATTCTTAGCACCATCTTAATTGCACTATCAGTCGGTCTTCATTTATTCCTCACATGTCTTCCCAGTTTTGGTTTTCTAACTGCATATATGTCGAGAAGTTCTTCTTAATGCGTCTCTTCTCGTTTTAATTTCTCTTCAAATTCTACAGGTTTCCAATTGAACACACTCATAATTTCTAATGGATGTGATGTCTGGGAGACACCACAGCTTTTTGTCAACCATGCGGGACATGGCTAGAAGAATTCAGTAGCATCTTCGCTGTGTGTCACAATAATTCGTAATTGTTTATTGGAGTAGTCCACCTGTGTGCCCCCCCCCACCCCCCCCCCGTGTGTGGACCAGTGACAGAGCAGCAGCAAAAAAAGCTGCATCCATGGCCGCGCACCGAAGCACGCCGTCCAGAAATAATACACACCAATAGCGCACGTTTGGGTAGAAACTGGGCTGGCCACCTTTAAGTTTTGGAAATTTTATTTAAATACATTTTAATTTAGAATATATCTTAGATATCTTTGATTACGTTTTTGGACGTAACAGTTTTTATCAAGTGATTTTGACTTAAATATGGCAACACAAGATATTCTGGAAGAGAAAAACCATTAAGTGTAAAATTATTGTCATTATCATTAGTAGGCCTTTTAGTAATGTTATTAATATTGTCGTCACTATGTACTATGTGTCAGTGCAGTCTCCTTTGGAAGACTAAGAGTCTCTGGAATAAAATACAAACTAAAGACTAAAATGGGTTAAAACGGGTTGGTAAAGCTGCCAGAACTGTGCCCAAAAATGTCTGAATATAGATTCTGTGGGAGTTTTATTTTAACTTGCTTCAGTTCATTTTGTAGGGTAGGCTCTAGATTTTTATTTTGTAATAAACATTAAATGTCTTAAACATGAAAATTATTATTATTATAGGCTACATCGTCGCTATAAGTCGGGCCAGGACAGTTGTGTTGCTGACCATTTGTAGTCAGGACATTTTTCATGATACAAAATCAGCATGGTTGTTTGTTTTTTATTTTTATTTTCCAACTCTAACACCACCACTCTGGCTCCTGACCTATGGAAACGTGTTTGCGTTTCTTTAGGTTTCCACCGAGTTCACTGCCATCAGACACCAAACAACACGCTCTGCCTCCATCAGGGGAAACGTTTGGGTCCTGTCCACGGTGCGTTCCCGACCTCCAGTGGTTATAAAAGGGAAGTGCTAGGCTGTACCAAACTGGTTAGAGGAGCTTCAGGGTACATTGAAAGCAGATCGAACAAGTCCTCAGCCAAAGTGTTAGTGTAGTTTCACGGGGTTGTATTATGAAGCAGTTCAGACGGTTAGAGCTGATAGAACAGCTGTTGGTAGTGACAAGTTCTAATACAGATACCAAATGTTGTACAGGAGTCTCAAGTCGTGGTTTTCAGCCTTTTACAGTCCACGACCCTTATAATCAACAAATAAGACTCAGATGTGATGTTTAGGTTACATGCACAGGACATTAACACACACACACCCACACACCCATCAGACTTATTCTACAACTCCTCAGAAGGGTTCTGCGCCCCACCCCCACCGTCTGAAATGGCTAAAAGTGTTAAGTCTGTTGCAATTTTTAATTTTTAAAACAGAGAGGCGGGTGGTGAGGAAACATCTTTATTAATAAAGGTTTTATCTGTACACATGCAACCTGGTTTGTTACCATTGATTGCAGTGAGATAGAAACACACACTGGATATGAAGTGAATAATCTAAGCATGCACATCGAAATGTAATTTCCAGTAATTCTTTAACAAGAAACATCTGCTGAAGAACAGATTGCTGAAGCAAATTACAAATTCCTAGTCAGTGCCATTACAAGAGTCATGGATCCATGCCGTAATATAACACCTATGCAAAGATTAAATCATTTAAAAGTGGCGGCTGGTGATACACTGAATTTCTATGGAAAGTTGGGGCAGGTACACCGATTTTCAGCAGTGAGTTTAATGTCATCATTTTATGTAATAACACTCCTAGCCACTGGGGGCAGTCATGTTTACATTAATAGTATGCATGAGGCCTACTAGCACACAAGTTTATTGGCTGATGGTGTTTCAGATGGCACACAGCCTCTGGTTCACAACTGCTGAAAGTCAAAATAAAGATAAAAGGGAGCAAAACCCCAGGAAAACTACTGTCTACAAATGTTTAATTCAGAAGGAATAACAGAAGCTCATAGCCATTCAGTCACCACTGAGGCTAGGCGACTTTTTTTTTGTTGTTTTTTTCAAAATATATTCATCATTAACTGATGCAAAGGTTTTTTCCTCAGCGGCGCACAGTGGTCCAGCCATCATCATCTGTCTCATTCTTGGTGCGACGAGGGTTTTCTTCTCGTCTGTCAGAACGCCAGCCCTTGTCTCCATCGGTATCACGGTCACGCTCCGTGTCTCTGGGCCTGTCCCTCTCCCTCTCCACCCGCTTCTCTTCACCTCCACGACGCCAAGAGCCTCCTGAGGAAACAAACACGCTGACTTTACAAGTGTGTGTATGTCCAACCTAATGAGGATCTTTCAACACACATCCAACAGGATGCAAACAGTTAAACAACCACCTCTGCTGGCTAAATCAACACATCCACATGGACTACCCAACTCTTTTGTTAGACCGACGTGCTAAATAAAGTTCACACATACTTAAAAATGATTTGTTGTGTTTTGGGACTTGGTGACCTGAGCCTGCCAGGTGAAAGTGACACAGGGTTGGAAGTGTGACTGACAGTGGCTATTATCCCTGTAATGGTGATGTCAGTTTTAACTCATAATCTGTTTACCCTCGTCAAGATCTCTGGGTGGGGCTCTGTTTTCACGGTCCTCCCGGCGGTCTCTATCACGGCGGTCACTGTAGCGTTCATCACGGTCACGACGTTCGTCATGGTCAGCGTCCTCTCTGCGAGAGTCTCTCCAGCTGCTCCCTTCTTCTCCACCTGCTCTTCTCCAGGGACCCTCCTCTCTGTCAATTCATAGTGATGCAGATGAACACAACATACATATAGATATAAAATAAACACACTTAACATAGGTCTTCTCTCAGGGCTACCTTTGTGGGCGACGGACATCATCATCTCCATCATCACGAGCACCACCACGAGGAGGTCCCCAGCTGTCCTCCCGGGCCTTCTCCCGCTCACGCCAACCACCTGCAACATAAGCATTTGCTATTTTGATCATCCTGGAAGACATCACTGAGCTGCTGAGCATTCCTATTGTCGAATAAGGCATTATTAGCAGTTGAATGGCTACAGGCTTACCAGGTCTGCCCAGAGGCTTCCAGGGTTTAGCGTCATCACCACCACGGCGCGGCATGTCATCCATGCCTCTCCTTCCACCTCTTTCATCATCTCCTCCTTTTCTGGGCCCCCAGTCATCATCAACACCATGCCTGGGACCCCTGGAGTCATCCATGCCTCTACGAGGACCTCTGTCATCATCAAAGCCGCCCCTCCTGGGACCGCGATCATCATCAAAGCCGCCCCTCCTGGGACCGCGATCATCATCAAAGCCACCCCTCCTTGGACCACGGTCATCATCTGCACCCCTCCTTGGACCACGGTCATCATCCATACCTCTGCGTGGAGGGCGGTCATCATCACCGCCACGACGTGGGCCTCCATCATCGAAGCCTCGCCGAGGTCCTCTGTCATCTCCACCTCTGCGGGGACCCTCTCCTCGCCTGAAAGACCCTTCTCCGTCTTCTTTGTCCTCATCACGGCCCTCCTGTCTCCAATCCCTGAAAAGAGCAAGCACAGGTGTCTTTAGAGTCGCCACTCACGGCCTAATGGGGTTAACAATAAACTAAAAAGTAGCACTGAGTTGTCAACACGCACCTGTCAGGAACAGAACGACGCCAGTCTGAATCACCTCCTTCAGTGCGCTTCCTCCACCCTCCCTCCTCCTTCTCACCCCACTCCTGTATAAGAAAATCAATCAAGACACACTGAGCCAAGACATCAGGACCACTCAAAGGTCTATAGATTTAATTTGCACCTTTAGAAGAAGGCACAGCAATGTCACCAAATATGACTATAAATATGCCAAATGTAGTTCACTAATCCCAACTCAGTCCCTCAACTTATGTGACCACATTTAGGCCTTATCCCTTCAATTACAACCTCATATTAAACAAATCTCAATTTTCACAGTATTTTGTGGCATTATACCGAGACAGTTTTGTTTTACATTACTATAAATAAGCAAAATATACATGCAATATTTATACACTGGCATGTTGTTTACTCTAAACATTTGAACTCTATTGCTGTGGAAGATTTGTGACCATTGATAAAAAAAAAAA